ATTGCCATTGAGTAGATTTCAACTCATAATGACCCTATAGGGCAGGCTAGAACTTCCCAGCGGGTTTCCAAGGCTGTGAATCTTTACACAAGCAAACTGCCACATCTTTTTCACGGGAAGCACCACCTGGGTTCAAACAGCCGACCTCTCGGCAGCCAGGCACGTGAGTACTGTGCCGCCAGGACTGCTCTTTGGGACGATAGTAGGTAATATATATATATATCCTTCATGTCAGGAATGGCCACATTCGTTACCTCGGTCATGATGAGTCTGAAACTCAGAAGCAGCTTAGCGGGGTGGTTCTTACTCGTAACTTGGATTGCAGTGGTCCACTTCTGACCTCAGCAATGTGGCTGAGAGAGGCCACCTTCTGATCTTTGCTGGCTGGCTGTCGGTTCCTCACCACCTGAGCCTTTCCCCAGTCTGGGGTAGCTGGCTTCCCGGAGAGTGGGTGATGAGAGAAAGAGACACTAGCCCAGGCCAGACGACCAAGATGAAAGTTGAAGTGCTTTATCCCACCTAATCTTAGAAATCATATAAGAGGGGACTCCCGAAGTGTGTGGAAAATTTCAGAGATGGAATTTTTCCACAAACTTTTTGAAGCCCCTTCATACCTCCCTTCCACTGCATTCTGTTGGTCCCCAGCCTAACTCTAGCATGACATGTGTAGGACTGCACTATGCAAGAGTGTGAATAGCCGCAGGTAGGGGCCCTTGAGGCCATGGTGGAAGCTGGAAGAGCAGAGGCACCTGCACTGACTGTGCCTGAGCTCTGGGATGCCCCTCGCACATATTGAGTCCTAGAGGCTGGGGCAAGCACTCCAATGAAACCTCTCTTCTCGGCCTTATCTGTGTTTACACCCAGCCAGGTTAGAGTTGCGTTTACCTCAAAGTATCTTTTGAAATACAGGAAGGTAGGCTTCAAGAATGAACAGATTTGTCTAATTTAACGTATGACTTTATTTTCTGAGAAGGGTAAACACATTACTTTTGTAATTTAAAAACTTAGGTATTACACACAAATAAATATTTTGGAAGTTACTGCAGCCATGGGCAATAGGAAGGCTAGCGATGTTCTAGCACTGAAATGCCATTAGTGTACATTCAAGTGCACTTCTCAAGGAAGAGTTCGTCCCATCCAGCTGCTCACCAAGGGAAAAGGCCCAGCACGGGCTTTTAAATAGTGCGAATTTTAGCTGTACATGCAAAGATTGCATTTCTGTTTAACGCTTCTTATTACTCTCCTCAGGGCTCTTCCTTTAATAGAGGCAAGTATCAGCATTCTGCAATATGTACAGCATATGTTATGTTTTCCACTTAGCAATAGTCTGAATTCTAGTGTCCCCCGGGTCACTTACTTTTTGCAGTGAAGACGATCCCCAAAATGAATACTCCTAACATCTTCAAATTTCATCTTTAAAGTTGCAAGAGGTTTTATGACTTTTAATCTTGGAACTTTTGTCTTATGGCAGATTTTCCCATATCAGACTTATAGTAGTATATCATGAAATAGATGAAATGAAACATAATCAGTATTTTAAAATCAGTAGTGCATACTAGACAATACCAGAGTGCACGGCTTATAGCAAAGACCAATATGAGTTCTTGAAACTTTTCTTTTAGTGGCATCCAACCAGACTCACTGCCTCCGAGCGAGTGCTGATTCATAGTGACGCCCTGTGGGTTTCCCAGACTGCAACTGGTGAAGGCCGTAGAAAGCCCTGCCTTTTTCTCCTGCGGAGCTGCATGGTGGTTTCAAACTGCCGACCGTGTGAATTGCAGCCCAGCACTTCACCACTACACCACCTGAAGCTACTTAGAAGTGAATATACATAGATGTGTGCGTGTGGATGTATATACTCACTTACTGGATAAAATGTCTGTCTTACAGTGAGTGGCATCGAAGTTCAAAGTCAGGTCCCTTGAGAAATTGCTCTATGTGAGAAGTGAGGATTAAAACTAGATTATGTATGTGTAAGGAGTCTCTGATTATCACAGACAGCCAAGTACTGGGCAACAAGCTGAAAGGTGGTGGTTTGCTTCTAACAAGTCTCAGTTGTAAAAACTCCACGGGGCACAGTTCTGTTCTGGAATACTTGGGGTCAGCGTGTGTGGGAATCAACTCAATGGCAATAGGTGAAGGCAGAATTAAATGTAAGCAATGCTCTAAGTCATTGTTTCCCAAAGTGGATGGTCCAGCCCCTAGGGCACACTGGAACAATCCAGGATAGCTGCAAAGACAGAAACCTACCCTTGATCCTGGAATACGGCCTCAAGGACAGAAGTTTTTCGTTGCCAGTGGTCATAATTTGTTTTAGCTTATTTTTCTGAAAAGGGGGTGATTGGCCAAACATGTTTGGAAACCTAGGTTCTAAATTCTATTGTTTTTTGTGTTCCATCACTGAATTAACTTGGTTTCCCTCCAAGAGTTTAGATTTCTGATATCACAAATGTGTGAACATGTAAAGTTAGAGAGCAATTCAGTTGCTTTCGTTTTGTTTATAAAGAAATATTTTTTCCAACAGGCCAGTCAAGTAAATTCCCTTGAACAAGAATTAGAGAAAATTCATTTGGAAAATGAAGGGCTAAAACAGAAGCAAGTCAGATTGGATGAGCAACTGATGGAGGTATGTTTTTAAGCAATCAACCTTAGTTATTAGGAAAATTTTAATCCATGAATGGGCCGTTTGTTTGAAGAGACTAGACATGGCACTGAGTTCCTGTTGTGAAAATGTGGAAAATCTTAATTGCCAAGCTGAATTCCTTGGTGTCTCTTACGAAGATGGTTTTGCTTATTTTCAGTCATAGGAATCCCTACCGATCTACAGAGGAAGGAAGAAGGTTGATTATTTTTAAGTGCAAAGGCCTGAACCTGAAGCAGATTCAGGTGTCAGGGACTCAATCTGATCCTGACCAAGGGACAGGCCACCCCTGTGGCTGCCCTGATGTCTCCTACATTGTTCTGGGGTGGGCACCCTCACTTGCTCTCCAGCAACTTCGGGAATTAGGAAGTCAGACAGGGAATGTGAGAGCATTAGCATTTGGAAGTCTTATTTTAAAGTGCTCGTTACTACATTTGTAACCCAGAACTGCCTTTTGAGAGCTGTATCTGATAAATACAAAACTAGGTATGCTATGCGTGTTAGCTTGGACAAAACTACTTCGTGAAAACTGGGTGCAATGATGGGATATAAAGCATGTACAAATCATTAATAAATAAAAGCTTCATTGAGATACTTTGCCTTAAGCAGATGAAAATATTAGTGAGTTGATGGAATATTTAGTGAATTGTGAAATTTACATAAGGTAGAGAAGCATGGGTCTAATGTCTTTTTGTGCTCTTCAAAAATACTACGTATGTGTGTATTTTGAAGCCAGCACTATAACAAGGAAGAGAGATTTCTATTTCCTCATTTAAAGCTGAATATGTACAACGGTGGCATTAAATAGATGCTTGGTTTTAAATATGAAATATGGGCACACATTGTGCTGGCATTTAAATGACCACTGAGATTTCGATGGATTACATGTTGTGTAATTTATCCACTAATGGGGAGATTAGTAAAACTATACATAGTGAGATTCAAGCCTCTTTATTTTTCACTTTCTGACAGTGTATAATAAATGTGTTCAAAGCCTTGAACTGTGAGCTGTGTTGTAGTAGATATGCTTTTATGATGAAGTAATTATATACTCTAATGGGTAAGATAGCTGGAGCCACGCCAACAATGTCTAGTCCAAATTGAAGGGTAGCAGGGTACACTTCATCACTGGGAGATCCTTTCCAAATGCTCTGACAACAGGCCAATTCTTCTCCTCCTACCTGCTCTGCCTAGCCTCCGGGGCCTCCTGCTCTCCAGTCCCATTTTGCATTGCCAGCTGTTTCAAGCCACTTCCCCCCTCTAATTTCTCTCCTTAAGCTGGTAGTAAATGTCGCTAAAGGATGGGCGAGATTGTGTTCTAAGGGAAAAGGCATAACTGCTCCATTGGAAAGAAAGAGGAGGCCGGAGACAAGGCTTTCTCCTCCCCTAAAGAGCTACGTTCTCAAACGCCCCAGGGGCAGTTCTACCCTGTCCTTTGGGTCAAGATGAGTCGGAATCGACTTGCTCACAGTGAGTTCCGTTTTTTTTTTTGAAGCTCCATTTGACCACTGAAAAGAGCACCCCACACCATCTACGGTAATGACACTGTCATTAGGAAGCAAGATGGAGCCATTAACTGCAGATAGTGAAACAATTGGATTTGGGGGTTTATGTTCTATCTATAGATTAGGCCGATTTGTGGCTGGGCGGGCGCGGAGTCCATGGTGGTTTTTACTTTTTGCTTGCCCATTTCATTGGCGGGCAAGGGCTGTGCTCACTCTGCCAAGGAGTCCCACCTGGCTCTGATGAAGAGCGGTGGCAGGCAGGGAGCCGCTCCTCCATCAGAATCTTGGGAAGCAGGACATTTGAGAAAAGCTTTCCAGGTGAGTCTTGCCTGGTGTCCCAAGGGAGCTTCAACAGGTGAGTGAGAAAACTCCATTATCATTTAATTCCATTTTACCGTGAACTTTGATGTGCTCCCTTGTGGAGAGGGGTCTCCCCTCAGCCCTATTTACCAGTTTAGACTACATAGCCAAAGATCCCAAATCACTGGACTAGGAAGTCAAAGACTTCCAGTTAGAATTTGACGCCCAGGTCAGGGACTTTTCAACCATGTGACGTCCTGCATAAATCATTTGCACACTACCAAAAGATTATAGACTCGATCAGTAATTCTCAAGCCTGCTGACAGGTCTCTGTGCCAAACAATAGCTCAGACTCATGAGCAACCAAAGAATGTCCTGTAACTTTTATCCCACACCCCCAAGTGCCAAAGGAGCTCGCGTCAGGTCCCTCCCGTACTGGATGTGGAATCTTCTAAATAGTTCTATTGAGATGGTGGAAGAAAACTGTAGTAAACTCACAAACTAACCAAATTACAGTGCGTGAGGAAGCAGGTGCAGAATTAGAGGGATAAGAGTTTTCTCTGCAAAATTTAAATGCAAAGAAATATCGATGCTAGTCCTTCCTACGCTCTCGTGAGACCGAGCGCGTTCTTACTCCCGGATGCAATAGACGCAAGCAGGGCTGCTTTTTCTCTTTTTATAACTCAGACTTTTCTTCCTCCGCTTGTAACTCCTGTAATCTTCTTTTGTTTGTTTTTCTTGTCTGTGGCTAACCTGTACCTAGAACTCAGTGGTTGGAACTAGCAGAGAAGGGTGCAGTTCTCTGCCCGAGATAGTGTGTGAAGGTAGAACATTCTTTTCAATGAACTTTCATGGCATGGAGACATCTCATTAAGCTTCTTGTTCATGTATTCATTTCTACTGATTACCACAATAAGTACTTAAGGTAAGAGCCAATATTCATTTTCAATTGAACTGCAGAATGTGCCTCCGTTTATGTTTCCCACAGAATATTTTTAGTATGTAAAGCATACTAAATTATCCTTTGTGTGAGGAGAATTATCTGATAAGAAATTAGGGAGTGTGCATCTCCCTAGTCTCTATTCCTGAGAATAAAGTGGTGGGTTTTGGGATCTTCAACTAGAAGTAATTTTTAAAGTAAGGAAATGGATAATGGCTCTACTGTTTCGTGATAAAGTTTCCTTTCTTTCAGTTGTGCCATGAAGGGCCTTTGACCCTTCTCGAAAGCTTGAAGTGCTTCCCCTTGACTTAGCCCTTGGTCGTGTTTAGTGCATGCTTTCCTGCAAGCCGCGTGTCTGCTGACTGTGTGGGCAGGTGGGAAGGCCATGCTTCTCACGGGTCGAAGGCAAAGGGTGCTCCATTTCGTTACCCAGACTTGGATTGGCATGTTCATGCGTGTTCCATTTTTGTCGTGGTCTTGGACAAATGCTTCCACGTACTCATATTCCCAAATATTCTAGAATTGCCTATCATATTATGCTACTTATTTATGGGTAGAACTGCATATGGATAAGCTAAGGTAGGTTAAACTATTTTTAGATGTAAGACACGGTTCTCTGAAACAGTTACAGGCACGGGGTTGGGAAGTAGGTTGGCATTAAGCATGTGCTTCTGTAAGTGGCAAACCCCGAAAGTGTGATGAGCACTTTCTTGCTTAACTTTCCTACCTCAACCCCTGTTTTAAAAAATAAAGAGTAAAATAATTTTTTAAAAAGAATAAGGGATAAGTGGTATTAAGATGTGTGCAAAGGGCTTCAAAAAGTTCATGGAAGGATGAAACGAAGAGCTAATAGAAGGTTTCCACAAACTTTTTGAAGCCCTCCTGTGTATCTTGAAGGACCCTCGAAGCACCATTGTGGAGCGGTCAACTGCTAACGGGAAGGTTGGCTGATTGAACTCCCGGCTGGCGCCAAGGGAGAAGAGCCCTGGGCATCTGCTCCCAGAAATCCTGCAGCCTAGATAGCGTTGTAGGAAACTTCTGCTCTGCCGTCTGTGTCAGAAGCAACTCGATGGTAGTAACTGACAGCGCCAACACCATTGCCATCACGAGGCTCGTGCCTTTATGAAGGACTGCCTCCTGATGAATGCTATTCTCTCCTAAGCAACATGACTCTTCTATTTACATCTGACTCAGGGTCATGTCCTGTCCGGTTTCCAAGTTGCCAGCAGGTAGAGGCCAGCAGGAATTCATAGACTTCATTACTCCCTGCTTGACCCCTGCAAGAACAGCTCTCTGACTAAAGGTACCAAAGTTTACCGGACCTTGTCCTTGCCCTTGTCCTTCAGCTGCAGCCCCTGAGGTCCACTGGGATGCTTAGTCCAGCCCCTCCTGCGTGGGGTCTGCAGTGGGTCCAGCAGCAAGCCTGTCCGATGGTGCCCAGGGAGCAGTTTCTGCAGCTTCAGCACCAGCTGCTTCAGGCAGAGAAGGTCAACCAGCACCTGCAAGAGGAACTTGAAAACAGGACCACGGAAACCAGCACTCCACAGGTATGGTGCTCTTTTGTTCTTTAGTGCTAAACTTAGATCCAGGGAGTTGCTGGTCTGGGTTTGTTTTTTTTTATTTGTTTATTTGCCAAGTATGCTGGTTCAAAAATGGGGGCAAAGAACCTCAATATCTTGTCAGAGAGTTACACCCTTACACGTATTACAGATACACAGAACCACAATGCTACTTTTTCCTGCTGCAATGCTACTGGTGCACTCTCCCCGTCTAAGCGCGCTGAGGCTCCTGACACACAGGTAATAGGTGAAGAAGTAGCAGGACCACTTGGGCGTGCAAAGCATCGTGGATTTTCCTGTACCAGCCAGGAGTAGCCTGCTGACGTCTTTGGAATTCATAAGGAGAGACTTTTCTCAACTCTTAAATAAAGTAGAATGTGCAGCCAGGTAAATGCTTTCAATTGGCATAGGTTAAATTAAATTTTGTTTCCAATTATCTAATTTGAAAGCCCTGTTTTTTTTTAGAAAATAAAGATCTTTATTCCCTTCCCTTTGAATTAGCATTATCCGTGCTCGCGAGCAAGCACAGTCTTATCTGATGTAGTTCTTCAAGTTATTTCTCTTTGTTACTTCATTCCTGATCATTTTTTAGAAGTCTTAAATTAACTCTATGCTCTTGCCCATTTAATTTATCCAAATTTAGAAATTTAAAAAAGTACTTGTTACAAAATTCTAAATTGATTTTTCTAAATTGTAAATACACTTAGAAAGTTCTGTGTAAATTCAATATTTGAATGTTCTTTTTTCAAATGCCTTGCTGCTCAGTAAAGATCTGTTAGGAATTTCCTAACTGGCCCCTCCCCCCAATGTCCCAAGTCTCCTCAAAGTGGCTTTGCAAATTCATGGTCCTCCTCTGCTACTGCACATCTATGCATTGTCATGATACACCTGCCGTTCTAGAGGAACCTCTGAAAAGGGCTATGTAATTAAAATCTAAAACCTTGACCAACCTCAGTTATTGATGGATATCCCAAACCAAATGATTGAGCCAGGATTTTCCTCATTGCTCTCCCATGCCACACTGCTGTTTTCAAAACTTTCTCTTCTCAGCCCAGCCATCAATGTTTAACCATGAAAATATATGTCCTTTTAGTCCAGTTGGTTCTGGGTTAGAGACACAGAAACTTTTGCGAATAAAACATAATCCTCCAGCCGGGTGACAAGGTGGCCTGGAGATTGCACGCTAGAATGCCGCCCACAGGCTCTCCTGCTCCGAGTCCATGAGCTACCCAAGTGGGAAGACTGCAGGGTAGGATTAGAATCTGCACGAGGTCTGGGTGTGTGGAGCGATGTGCTGCCTTTCACCTTTCTGTTGCCTTGCTTGCTTATGTGGTGTTACGTATGTTCACGTCATGATTGTTGGCATTATAAATGTGTGGATTTAGACTCCCCCAAACAATCTCGACATCAGGGTGAAGTGTACCACTTGCCTTCTTTCTCTAGGCCTTGCTACCGGAGCAGCGAGCAGTGCATGCAGATTCCTACAGAAGGATTGGGCACCTGTGAAAACTGGGCTTCTGTTGATGGCCTTTCTTACCCTGGCAGATACTCAAATGCACGCGCGCGCACATGCACACACACACACATGCAGAGACATGAGCTGAGAAAATGTTTTGGAATCAAGTGCTCTTTTAAATTATTTTACTATTATTGTTAAGCCTTTGCAGTATTATGTCTCTTATTTATTGATGTAGAAATAACAGATTTTTGTGAATCGAATTCACAAATCTAAGCTTGTTACAAATCATTTTATTTATACTTTTTAAGGAGTGTGGATCTGGAAATCTTGAAAGGATGTCTTCTATATATTTTCTCATTCCCTATGCTGTAACTATTTTTAACAAAGGTTTTACTTTTATATATGGGATTTGAAGAAATCCGGACTATTTATACTGTTTTGTATACATTGTACAATACTTTTTGATGGGAAAAATAATTTTTTGATGAACAATAAAATAAATTTTAAACATATGACTGCTTTTGTCCTTCTTCTTCCCACGCTTTTGCCATGTTTCATGTTCTTCAAATTCACATTCATTTTTACATTGTTTTGGTTTTTTACTCTTTTTTTTTTAGCATGTAGAAATTGGGTACTTTCCATTTACATTTGAACTTTAAAAAGCCATTGTATTTTTTTAAATGCAGGGATTTTTCAAAAGCTAAATGTTCTCAATGCCTGGTTTCTTGCAATGTACTTTCTGCATTAGATTCTTGCCTGCTACAAATTTTGCATTTAAATTAATCATGTGATTTCTTTTTTCCTTTATGCTTGCCACTTTTTAATGTCCAACCATGCTGACTTTCAGCTCACGTTTGATCCTTTTGCTTGCTTTTTTACGGATACCGGTTTAAGAATACTGTAAAGACAAGTTATGCTATTAACTCTTGAGCTTTGTTTAAACATTTGAGGAACCTTTTGAAACCTGTGGGGGCAGGGCAGCCAGTCCCACTGTAAGCCCTCTGGAGGCCTGACTGCCCTCAGAGAGCCTTGTGCTCCTTAATCCGCCACTGTTGTGTGCAGAGAGGAGGAAGGAAAGGCTGGGGTTCTTTTCCTGCCCCCCGTGTTTTATTTAGAAGCTGTTTGCAGGGAGAAGATCCTTAATTTTAAATCTGCTCTGATGACAAACCCCTCCTCCAAACCAGACGTTTGTTCCCCACTGACAAGTCCATGGGGAAACAGACGACTGGACTAACCGGCAGGAAGCAGCTGATTACGTGGAGAAGAAGCGCAAACACCCGGACAGTAACTAGCCTGTTCAAGGGAATCAGATGCACAGCGGCAAGTCGCTTGGACGTATTAGGTGATCCTGAAAACTCCGTCTTTGTTCCGTTGTCGAGAGGCCCACAGTATTGCAGAAACCCAAATCACTGACGAATGCGTGAAAACCATCTTCTTATTTACTTTG